AGATCACATGAAATGGTTGAGAAAGAAATGAATAGTCTAAAAAAACTGGTCTTTCTATAGCAGAATCCAACAAACAAGTGAGAAGGCAACAGTTTCCTCACTACTAACTTTTTGCAAAGTGACTTTAAAGATGTTGTCCAATACATGGGCACCCCTCCACCTTTGTCATAATATCCTGTGGAACAAGAGCAACTTACATTCTTTTTTGTGGATAGCTTAGGATGACTTTCTATGTAAAAAGCATCCTCAGAAACATCCAGAACAATCCACAGACCCTTACATGACCCAGATATGGGCAAGCATTTTGATTTAAATCAATTTAATCTCTTTGCAGTCAATGAAATGGAATCAGCTTATCAGCCAAGCTCATGAAATCGGATGGGCTGAGAAGTATTCGAGTCATGAACTCATTGCAGCTTATACCATTTGGTGTCAAGGCTTCACTGCTGCACAATAGAACAGAAAGACCTTGAACTAGTTTTGTGGACTATGACTCTCAGGGTCGTTCCTCCTCCTAATACAGCTTCACAGGAACACAGGGAGCTACAACACATTACTTGTTTGGACTACAGCTTCCAGCATGCTCCAGTTCTATGACCCTAGCCATGCTGGCTAGGAGATTCTGGAATTACAGCCCAAATAAGTATGTTTTCCAACTACTGATAATAAAAAACCAGTACCAAGATACCTGTTGGAAGGGCTTACATGCAGCTCTGCCACAGCTTCAGATACTTGGAAGAGCTTCAGTTGAGTGATAAGCAACACATGTATCAGCTCTGCAACATGCCACATTGCTTGTTTTCAAAAATGCTGTGTGTGCATATATGTGCATGCACACATAGCCCCTTCCCCACCTACTTTTCTTATGCTTCAAAACCCTCCCTAGAGTTGTGTTCAAACACACAGGGGGGCCAGGTACATGTTTATCCTTACATATATTTGGGAACATGTAAGGAATAATGCAGACATTTTGAAGATGTTTCCTATTATTACCTTCAACAGATTACATATCTGGACCTGGATCTGAATATACCAAAGTTGTCAGCACAACAGCTCTGATCACCATTTGGGACAGCGAGTACTGTAACTGTCTGCATTCAGCAACTTCTGATACCTTAAACTGGTAACTTCAGCAACTGAATCATCAGCAAGACATAACTTTTGGAAGGCATTATTCATGCAAAGCATGCTGCTTTGTGTAGCCTGCATTAACTAAATTGTGAACTGCCTGGAGTTTGCTTTAAGTGCTATGAGGCGGTATACAAGCAGCACAATTTGCTCTGCTTTCCCTTTATCCATGCATCATAACTATCATCCACAGCAAGGGAGGAGAAAAATTCTTTCAAGGCCAGGTTGTTGTTTAGTCATTTGGTCATGTCCGACTCTTCATGACCCTGTGGACCAGAGCACACCAGGTCTTCCTGTCTTCCACTGCCTCCCAGAGTTGGGTCAACTTTACGTTGGTAGCTTCAATGACACTGTCCAACCATCTCGTCCTCTGTCGTCCCCTTCTCCTCTTCCCCTCACACTTTCCTAACATCAAGGTCTTTTCCAGGGAGTCTTCTCTTCTCCTGAGATGATTTCCTAAAAGATCCTGGACACCCAATTCCAGAGGTGGCAGGAGCAAAACATAAAAAGACAGGGCGAAAAGCACCCACGGCAACATTTTGGCTAAAAGCGCTTCCTTCCAGCAACTGCGTTTTGGGAAAGGCATTTCAGCCTTTCAGAATGGATGGGGAAACCCCCACAAAAGCTGGCAACCACTATAAATGGTGATGTCACAATGTAGAGGATGTGACCATCTGAGGAAGTCCGGAGGGCCAGCTTCAGCCCTAGGGCCTGCAGTTCTCCAAAGTATAATCAGGTGGGTTAGTCAAATCTTAGGTAGCCATCCCTTCCTTAGCCTCATGTCATATGGTTTCTGCATGCAGAACTTCCAGAGTTCCTCAGCCTGGTGTCCTCCAGTAATGTTGGACTACAGCTCCTTCCTTCTGCAGCCAGCATAACCACAGCATGATACACCTGGAGGAAATAACGCTTGGGAAGGCTAGCCAAGGCAATGCAGGAGTTCTGCTCCTGTGCAATAATCTATAGCTCCCATGTCATTCACTAAGGCACAAGTTGAGCCTGTGACAGTTAGTCACATACTAATGATGGCATATAGAATAGAATCCTTCTTACTCTTCCCCCTCACCCACACATGCTGAAATATCTCCCACTGAGTTGTGTTTTTTTTAACTGCTTAAATGTGGCTGGATTGTGCCATACCTTCTTTTATTCCAAAATGCAAATGTTCTCAGATTACACAACTTCTAAATAGTTCTTCATGATTCATAGCAATTTTCCCCCTTTAGGCTGGAGAAAACATCACTATTTCTTTGTTTATTAAAAATATTTTTCTGTCGCTTTTCAAGGCAAAAAAAACCCCTTCTCCTGCAATAAAACCTTCCCCAACATGGAGGGTGGAATATTGCTCTCCTCATATTTGACCACTTACCATGATGGGATGGAATTATGGAAGTTCCAATTAGAAACATCTGTATTACATGATCTAATTAGGGAAGGTGGCTGTGATAGTGCTTTAACCTACAATATTTGTTCTGTTTCATCAAGCCTACTCTTAACAGTGTGTGTGTCCACGCACATATCCTCACTTATCATCACCTTAAGTAATTAAATAATATGCAGTACAGTATATCATAAACTGTTATTACTTGGATTTTATATTGTTGAGACCTACCTATCACAGTATAGACAACTGTCATCAAGTCAACAATAAAACACCCTTTTAACAAATAAATGAGAAGGATTCTCAACCATCACAAGTTTTTTTATAGCCAATATTTTGTTTTTTATTAAATATAACAACCATTAAATATGGCTGTTTTCCCTGTGCAGATCAAATTTTGAGGCTGACTAATGGAGAGAACTGTTTTTCCTGACAACATGGTGAATCATTCCTAGTTTGCAACATATTCAAGAAGGCAGTAGTTGTATCAGGAGCTTGCTATAAATAGCTTTACAATACTATCAGAACTGAGCATCTTTTCTACAGGGAAAATCATACTGAAAATATCATTTTATATCTGTAATTATTCAATTCAAGAATTAAAAATATCACAAATCAATTGCTTTCTATATAAAAAATTAATCCACAAAAGTTGGAAGAAAATTTACTTTTGTTTCCCTAATGGGAAACTCAGCATATTTCAGGCAAGATGCCATATACATCAAATGATAATTCATGTCAAAGTCAAGACATAAAGGCAAACTAGGGAAAGAAGATGCAATATTCTAACTAATATTGAGCTTTGCCCTGAACTTCTACCATAATCTTTGTTTAATATACATGCACCAGAAACCTTACACCCCAGAAACATATTTTGTTGCATAAACCGGGCAGAATTAGCTCTTCAGTGTAGGTGTTCTGTGACACTGCGTTTTGAAATTTTGTAAGCAATATCACTGAATTTTAGCCATTCACCTTATATATCATATATACTGCCCTAGAAGTGGTTTACCAATACAAAAATAAGAACAATTCAAGCACAATTTTTCAAACTAAAAACAAATAAATAGGCTGAAATGGAACCGAAGTATTAAAATACTATAATGTTTAAAAAGTAAAACACTTGTGACAAAAATGCATAAGCCAGTTTCCGTCCATTTGGTGCTCTCTGAACATATCCAGATCACACCTCTGGCAACTGGTGACTCCAGTTCTCCCATCATCTTTAACAGCATGACCATAAAGGAGGATGGGAATTGATGTGTAGTCCCAACACCCAACACACTGGAAGAGTCCTTGATGGGGGAAAGATAGCCAGAGTGGTGTAGAAGACAGAGTGACAGATGAGGAGTGAAGAGACCTGGGTTCAAATCCCTCCTTGGGCGTGGAAATGCAAAGGAAGGAGAGTGGCACTGGTAAAACAAGTCCTTAAATATCTCACTTTCTCTGAAAATCCTGCATCAGCACATAGCAACAGACTGAGGAAAAGGCTGGCCTAAAGCAAGAGATTACAAGGGAAACGTTTGCCTAAAGATGCAACAAGACCTTCTCTCATTCCAGCCAGCATTTCAGTCCAATGGAGATCTTGCAATACAACCAGCAACTATGAAAGAAAATGCAAACGTGTGTGACTCTTCCTTTGCCACAGGTAAAGTCTGCCTTCAACTGGGGTTGCAGCCTGTAGTATCCTGTAATCCTTCGGGATGCTAGAGTTGCAGCCCCATCCCTACCTGGGACAGAGATGCATGCTCTTCTGTCTTGGGAACCAACCGGCTTCATCACAGACTCCTCGACCCCCCCACACACACCTTCTTTTAGACACCGCGAATTAATTGCCACTGACTTCCAGCAGGACTAATTTCCAAACCAGCCTTTTCCGACGGGTGATCGCATCCTTCCTTGCCCCAGATGGCCATTCCCACGATCGCCCCCCCCCGACCACTAAGTCCACTAACAACATCTGCTGACAGGCTGGGTGCGAGGGGGAGGCAACCCTTCCATAGCCCCGCACGGTCTACTTCGGGGAGTATTATTTGTTTATTATTTATTTTTATTTATTTCATATTTTTTATCCCGCCCAACAAGTGGCATAGCCACTACTCTGGGCGGAAAACAGATCGCAGTAACGCAAAGCACACAACAGACCGAATTAAAAATTCCCATAAACAGCAAACAAGGGACATAATATCTTTAAAAAAAACAATAATGATCAAAAAACTAATGACTAAATCTCGGTTACAATACTATTTGGCGGTCAAAACAGGGCAAGTTTATAAGCAAGCAAGCGCGCACAGCCCAACCATTCACACGAGATGACTCTGGGGTGAGACCATAAAAAGCTTGTGAAACCAGCCAGGTAGGGAAAGGAAGCCCAACTCCAGCGCCGCCTTGCCAAAGAAGCGGAGCTCTTGGCTCCCCGCCTTTCTTTTGTCCAAACTCTGCCCGGCTTCCGAGAGGCAACCGACCGGCATCCCCACCCCACCCGACCCACCTGGTGCCTCGCT